ACAATATTGAAGAGGTATGGAGAGAGGGGACAACCTTGTCTTGTTCCTGATTTTAGAGGAATCGCATTGAGTTTCACTCCATTTAGTTTGATGTTGGCTGTATATTGTTTTTATTATTTTCAGGTGTGTTCCTGTTATCCCTGATATCTCCAGAACCTTTATCATGAAGGGGTATTGGATGTTGTCAAAGGCTTTTTCAACATCTAGTGAGATGATCATGTGATTTTTGTTTCTCAACTTGTTTATATGGTGGATTATACTGATAGATTTACATATGTCGAGCCATTCCTGTATCCCTAGGATGAAGCCTATTTGATCATGGTGGGTGATTTTTCTGATGTGTTCTTGGATTTGATTTGCCAGTATTTTGAGGTCGCTTCATAAAAAGACTTTGGCAATGACCCTTCTGCTTCTATTGTGTGGAACACTTTGAAGAGTATTAGTATTAGTTCTTCTTTGAATTTCTGGCAGAATTCTGCACTGAAGCCATCTGGGCCTGGGCTTATTTTGGTTGGGAGGCTTTTGGTGACTGCTTCATTTTCTTAGGGGTTATAGATCTGTCGAAATTGCTTATCTGTTCTTGATTTAATTTTGGTTAAGTGATATCTATCCAGAAAATTGTCCATTTCCTTTAAATTTTCGAATTTTGTGAAGTACAGATTTTCAAAGGTACCTGAAGATTCTCTAGATTTCCCCAGTGCCATTGTTATTTCCCCCTTTTCATTTCTGATTTTAGTTTGGATAAAGGTTTATCTGTCTCTCAAAGAACCAACTCTTTGTTACATTGATTCTTTGTATTGCTTTCTTTGTTTCGACTTTATGGATTTCAACCCTTATTCCATTATTTTCTGGCATCTACGCCTCTGAGGTGAGTTTGCTTCTTTTTGTTCTAGAGCTTTCATTTGTGCTGTTAATTATCTAGTGTAACTATTCTACAGTTTCTTCATATGAGCACTTAGTGCTATGAATTTTCCTCTTAGTACTGCTTTCAAAGTGTTCCATAAGTTTGGGTATGTTCTCTCTTCATGTTCATTGAATTCTAGGAAGATTTTTAATTTCATTCTTTATACCTTCCTTGACCCAGGAATGATGCAATTGTACATTGTTCAATTTTCATGAGTTTGTAGGGTTTCTGCAATTTATGTTGTTGAATACTAACTTTAAAGCATGGTGGTCTGATAAGATATAGGGGTTATTCCAATTTTTTGTACCTATTGAGGTTTGCTATGTGGTTGATTTTAGAGAAGGTCCCATGTGGTGCTAAGAAGAAGGTATATTCTTTTGTGTTTGGATGGAATGTTCTATAGATGTTTGTTAAACCCAATTGGGTCATAACCCCTTCTGTTAGTTCCTTTGTTTCTTTGTTAAGTTTCTACTTATGTCTGCGTTTTAGTAATGGTTCTTTTACGAATGTGGGCACCTTTGTATTTGGGGCATAGATGTTCAGAACTGAGACTTCCTCCTGATGAATTTTTCCTGTGATGAATATGAAATGACCTTCTTCATCTCTTTTAATTGATTTTAGTTTGAAGTCTAATTTTTCAGTTACTAGGATTGTTACACCAGGTTGTTTTTTGGGTCCATTTAATTGGAAAATCTTATCCCAACCCATTACTCTGAGGTAATGTCTGTCTTCAAAGTTGAGGTGTCTTTCTTGTATGCAGCAGAAGGATAGATTCTGTCTTCATATCCATTCTGTTAGCCTGTGTCTTTTTATAGGCAAATTAAGGCCATTGAGTGTTAATTCTTGTTTGTTTTTGATTTGTTGGTGGTTGTGTTATTGTTTGTGAATTTACCCTGCTTTTTCTTTTGGCTTTTAGTAAAGTAGGATTATCTATTGCCTATGTTTTTGTGAGTGTAGTTAACTTCCTTGGATTGGAATTTTCCTTCCAGTACTTTCTGGAGAGCTAGATTAGTGGATATGTATTGTTTAAATCTGGTTTTGTCAAGGAACATCTTGTTTTCTCCATTTATAGTGATTAAAAGCTTTCCTGGGCTGGCATCTGTGGTCTTTTAGTGTTTGTAAAACATCTATCTAGGACCTTCTGGCTTTCAGAATTCCCATGGAGCATTCAGGTGTGATTCTGATGGGTTTGCCCTTATGTTACTTGGTCTTTTTCCTTTGCTGCTCTTAATATTCTTTCTTTATTCTGTATGTTTGGTGTTTTAATTATTATGTGACAAGGGGATTTTTTTGTTGTTTTGTAGGCATCCTGTTCTTTCATTGGCATGTCTTTCTTTAGGTTGGGAAAGTTTTCTTCTATGATTTTGTTGATTATGTTTCCTGCACCTTTCAGTTTTTTTAACCTTCTTCTATACCTATTATCCTTAGGTTTGGCTTTTTCACGGTGTCCCATATTTCGTGGATATTTTGTGTTAGGGATTTGTTGGACTTAAGATTCTCTCCTCCATCTCTTGTATTTTTGGTTATGCTTGCATCTGTAGTTCCTGATCATTTACCCATCTTTTCTAATTCCAGCATTCCCTCAGACTGTATTTTTTTATCGTCTCTATTTCAGCTTTCAAACCTTACACTGTTTGGATTGTTTCTTGCAATTTTTGGTTTATCTTTTCTTCCATTTCTTTAAAGGATTTTCTAATTTCCTCTGTTAGGGTCTCTGTCATCTTCATGAAGTTGTTTTTAAGTTTGTTCTCTTCTGTTTCATCTGTGTTGGGATGTTCAGGTCTTGCTGGTGTAGAGTCCCTAGACTCTGGTGGTGTCATACTGGTTTTTCTGTTGTTGAATGTATTCTTACATTGTCATCTTCCCATGCCTTATTCCCATGAGTGCATGTTGGGTCTCTTCCTCTTCTGGTGAGTACGGGTCCAAGGTTCTCTTCCAATGGGTGCAAGCAGGTCCAATACTGTGATGGGTCTCACAGTGGGTGGAGGTGAGTCTGAGGCACTCCCTTTCCACTGAGCTGGACTAGCATAGTGCCATCAGCAGACTTATGCTTGCTTGTTGCCCAGGGGGCAAGCATCTTGCCTGCAAATGGAAGTCAGCTCCAAGGTGGAGCTCACCTCTGCCCTGAGTGGTGGTGGGTATAGCCCAGTGATCTCAGCAGACTTGAGTTTGCTTGGTCTGACAGGGGCAAGTCAACCTACCTATGGTCCCCAGGCCAGGAGATCCCAGAGTGGGCAAGCAGAAGTCAAATCAATTTTTAAAGACTACCTAATTTTGAAATTGTTGAGATTCACCTCAGTATCTCTCAGTACATTCCCTACTAGCAACCACATCCTACTTACCCTAAAGTCTCCAGGTGTCCAGGGTTATCTCATCATGTTCAGAGTTGGGCACATTGGTCTTCCCTATACAGGCAATCAGTATGGGGAGCTAGGAAACCTATTCTAGGCTTAGCTGGGCCCAGAGTGTTTCTCTGTGTGATAGTAACTGCTCTGAAGCAGTAGGAAATTGGTCATATTAGCAAATGACATAGATTTAATTAAGCTAAGAAACAAAACACAAAATCCCTTACTGTGCTGTGATTGCAAGCAGAGAGGCCTAATTGTTCTCCCTGCATTCTGTGTGGAGAAATGAAGCATTTAAGACTTTAAATGAGCATTGTTCATCCATGCCCTGATGTGTTTCTTGTTCTGAACTATGTCAGGTCGGCCAAGTGTTAGGAAACCTACTGGGGCTTCTATATTCAAAAGGAAAGGTGTTTCTACATGGTCAGTTTTCTTTTATTTGATTTTCATATATGATGAGTACTTATTACATTATTTCTACCGCTCCTTCTCCTCCAACTCCTCCCATGTCCCCCACTCACTCTCAAATTCAAGACTCTTTCTTCTGTCATTACATTGACATGCATATATGTTTTATATGTGTATATATTACATTGACATGCATATATGTATATATATGTATATACGCATATGTTTCTATAGCATGCATGCATACATACATACATACATACATACATACATCCTTCCAAATGTATTTGGTGTTTCCCCTATGTATGTGTGTATCTTAGTTAGGGTTTCCTCTGCTGTGATAAAACACCATGACCAGAAACAACTTTGAGAGGAAAGGATTTATTTCACCTTAAGTCATACTTCATCACTGAAGAGCATGGCTTTCTGGCTTGCTTCTCAGAGCTTGCTCAGCTTGCCTTCTGTACTGGCTGATTTGTGTGTCATCAGAGAGGAAGGAGCTTCAGTTAAGGAAATGCTGTGTGTGTGTGTGTGTGTGAGTGTGTGTGGTGTGTGTGAGTGTGTGTGGTGTGTGTGTGTGTGAGAGAGAGAGAGTAGGTTGTATTTATGTATTTAGGAATGTGTAACAGAAATATATGTAGAGAGAATTATATAGAGAGTTATAAATAGAACACACACATATAAGCAAAGGAAAAGAAACCAATAATATGAGTGACAACAAGAGGCTACATGAGAGCGTTTGGAGGGTGAAAGGGGAAATATGATGTAATTATAATCAGTATATATATATATATATGTATATATAGCAAAAACTAAACAGAATGGAGACTAGAATGGAAAGTATCAGTGGGTGCTACAAGTGGTAAGAATTTCAAGAAATGTCTGGACACTGGAGGTTGGGATCACAATGTTGTTTTTCCCAGAGATTCAAAGTCAGTAAACACTCTGGTATTTTCCATGTCATCCCAATCCCTTATCTGGCTGCTGTCACTGCCCTTCAAAGTCTGCTTTGAATTGTCAGCTGCAGTGTGATGATTCCTTCTGGGCTATTTGCAAAGGAAGCCTTCCTGCAAATATGCACAAAAATTCAATTTCTGAATATTTTCTCATAGCTAGCCTACTTTAACTTATCTCAGATTGCATGGGCTACAGTGCAGGCCCTGAGGTTCTCTGCTGCAGAGCTCAGGGCCTGCTCTTCTATTAAGAAGCAGGGATGGGTAAGAAACAGTACTGAGACCTATTACTCTCAAAATCAATAACTGGAGACATTTTACAAACAATAGAAATATTTTTTCTAAGCAAAATGCTTAATTTCTTTCTCCTTTTGTCATTCTCTTTCTAAGCTGCCTGTCTTGTGCTTGGGTGTATGATTTTCCCTGATGGCTGGGATTCAGATGAAGTAAAACGGATGTGTGGAGAAAAAACAGACAAGTACACTCTTGGGGCCTGCTCTGTCCGCTGGGCGTACATCCTGGCTATCATTGGAATACTGGATGCCCTGATCCTCTCATTTCTCGCATTTGTGCTTGGGAACCGACAAGACAGCTTGATGGCAGAGGAACTGAAGGCAGAAAACAAAGGTAAGATTATTTAAGGGATGCTTCCTGGATGTCTTAAGCACAAAAAAATTCCCCAAACTGCAGCCCTCTCCCTTTTGCATATCAAATCCTTTCCCCTGCAGATCTCATTTGCTTCATGTTAATGCTCTTGACTCCAAGACTTCTCCAAAGACTCAAGATGTTTGCAAGACTCAAGTATAGCATTGCATTTGCTTGCCCTTCTGAAGCACTCTCTAAGTCCATTATGACTGTTTCAGTATTTTTTCCAGTTTCTTCCTCCTTCTTTCTCTAAAGCCTTAGTTGTCAGGAGTTATTGACTAAGAGGCAACATTGGGGGAGGGGTATCTATATGACTGAATGGAATGTGCTTCTCTGTGTATTCGGCTATTTTCCCAGAGTGAAACAAGTACCTGAGAAATCGTTCACAACCATCAGAAACACTGGATTTGAATTCAAACTCATCCTGTCAGAAAGAGAGAGATTCCCACCCCTAAGTGTTTACGGAGATTACAATAGCACCCCGATTGTCTATACTCCTCAATGTATTATCTGGGTAACCAACTGCTCAGATTTCTTCCCAAAAGGAAATTGTCTACTGAAATACAAGGAAATGGGGAGAAAGAACAGGACATTGACTGGTGTGTAATATACTGAATTATATCAGAGTAGGTAACTAAGTTAGCATATCATTATTCAAGGTGAATCTTGTCATTTTTCTTCCACACTGCTAAGCCTATCCTTTGGGTGGAACTTTAATGACAAGGGGTTGTTGTAGCCTTACATTTGTTTGATGTACTCAATCTCTGTGAGGTTGGGGGTTTCTTGTTTTGGTGGTTGGTTGATTTTTGAGATAACATCTTGCTTTGTAGCCCAGACTGACCTCCGATCTTCCCCTCCTGATGCCTCCTCCGCAGTCCTCAGACTGAGCCATGTTTCATCATGCCTAAGTCTGCATTTTATCTGTTATCTTTCTGCTTTACTTTACATCATCACCTTCAGCTGAGTGGCTCCTTCTAGTTTTTTCTTCCCAATAAGAAACTAAATCCACCTTGAATTATAAAATCTAGACATTACTTCAAATAGGTGTTAATTCAAAGCACCCTTCACCATTTTTAACAAGGCCTCTAACGTAAGCATATATTACCCTGTACATGAACATCTCATGTAATAGTCATATAGCCAACTTCACAGGCAGCCATCACTGCCCATGCTTGTGAAGTAGGAAGAGGAAAGGTAAATGGAGTCAGCAGGAGGGCAGCAGACACCTAGGAACTTCACTCCCTGGCTTGTAGACACAGCATGCATTATTTACTTAATCCTATCAAGAATGTTCTAACCACAAAAGTAGCTTCCACAGGGAATGCAGCTAAATCTTCCTAAACAAAACTACAAGGGTTGGAGAGATGCCTTAGAGGTTAAGGGCATTGGCTGTTCTTCTAGAGGACCTGAGTTCAATTCCCAGTACCAACATGGCAGCTCACAACTATCTGTAACTTCAGTTCCGGGGTGTCTGACACCCTCACATGGAGTATATATAAGCAAAACACTGGTGCGCATTAAATAAAGAAATATTAAAAACCCTTTCTTGCAGAGTTACCCCTTCAAGATTTAAACAACAACACTCAATATAAAGAAAACAGTTACAGTTTTGTTTATATTACAGACTTAGTACTTTCTATGCATCCATTAGTCATTTTTAGAAACAGTTATTTTAAAAACTTTCAAATAACTAAAAACATCGCGCACAAAATTAACGAGACCCAAAGTCTATACAACTTAATAAACTCATATACAGTTAGAATGAGCACTCTAAATAGAAGCTGTGACACTTCGCATTAGATTTTACACATTCAGTATTGAATATATTTTATGTATTTACCTACCACCGAAACAAAAAAAAATCCATGTTAAAATTAGAACTAGAAAAAAATAGCTTTATATTCTCTTTCATAACTTGCATCCATTACCTGCATTCAGTTATTTCTTGCCTCCTTGTGTTTAAGTGTGTCTTGTTCTCTTTTCTCTGTGTTATACTGTACCCACACATACATTTGTCTTAATATGTACATACATGAGTCATGTACTTATCATGTGGAGCTCCTGTCTGTCTCTTTAGTCTGTTGGAGACACTCAGTTTTCTGTCTTCTTCACTTCATATTTAGTGGTAAGGATAGCTCAAATTTGCCAAATTACCTTTCTGGAAGGAATGAGTTATGGCTACTTTGTTCAGCAAATATTCGAATTCCCCCAGTCTCTAGTAGTGGGCCAGAATGCTATTTGTTCCTTTAATATTCAAAGTTACACTGAAAACTTCTGACTTCTCAGATCTTCTGTGACCACGATACAAGAAAATTCAGAAAAATGTAGTTAAAGTCAGCAGCAGTTCGTTTGCCACAGATCAGAGAGATCAAAGGAAATACAGAAAGCATTGAACTATACCATTCAACTTCCTAGTCCAAAGTCCTTAGTGTGAGACTCTGGGGCGGCAACCAAAGCTGTGCTATACAGACTTTCCAGGCCCGTACACACTGGGTTCTCTGTAAATAAGGTCAAGACTTCAAAGCTTTGTGTAAACTTTAACCAAGCCTACATGTTTCTGAGAAATGATACAAGATTTGCTATTGCAAGTAACCTTTATTGTTTGAAATTATTTAATAATTTATTCAAGGTTGAAACTTCTGAACTCAGATTATCTAAGACCAATCAATGATTCTATGTGTGATATGCATGAGCCTAATTTCCAATCATGAATGGGCATCCTTACAATTGCTTGGATATATTAATATCACTGTTGACTAATTAAAATGTTTTCCAGTATTAGTTGTTATGGATAAGAATACCAAAATGTATGTTGCAGGGACAAATCTTTGTTTTGGTTCCATGGTAGTACACAGAAATGGTGACAAAAGTAACCCTGCTTAAATGTTTAGAAGACTGTATATACCCTAGTATTGTGGGATCCCGCCTGGGTCCCGACGCTGCTTTAGCCTCCAAATAACACACAAGACACTATATTAATTATGAAGCTGTTGACTGTTTGCTATGGTTTCTAATCAGCTAGCTCTGACTTAATTATAAACCCATAATTTCTAGTGTATATTTTTATAAGGACTTATCTTTCCAAGGACACAGCCTCATGCGTCCTCTTCCCAAGATCACATGGCGACAACGCCCTTCACTACATTTCCCAGAATCCTCCTAAACTCCTAGTCCCACCTATCTTGCTTCCCTTTTGGCCAACAGTGCTTTATTTAAATGTACACAGAAGGACTTCCTCCATCACCCTAGGATGATTTATGGTTCTATTCCCTTTCAGTGGTATAGCCCACCAACCATATCAGCATGCATCTTATAGGTAACAGATGCATAACAAGGAACAAGATATGATCATGACAGGAGTTAGACCTCTAAGGAGCATGTTTGCTTTGGGGGCTGCTGTAATTAACTCTACAACACATCCCCTGCTGTATGTGCAAAAGCCACCACATAGATCCAGATTTTCTGGGTATTGTTGTACCAAGGATATGGCTGAGAGCATGAATCCTTCTTGGCAGTCACCCTAATTCTATAAAGCAAAATCACTGCTACATCAGTCACAGAATCAATCAGGGAAAGGAACTTGGTTCTAATTGTTGAACATACTCCACTCATAGGACCTTAAGTTCAAAGGAAATATAAAATGCTACTGAATCATCACAAAGATGCTGTTCCTTGAGAAAACTAGGAGGGGTAGGTATCTAAAAGTCAATCATCACAAGCATGCTATTCCCTGAGAAAACAAGGAGGGGGAGCTATCTAAAAGTCCCACCCCAGCCACCTGCGGTCATCTCCCAAGACATGTCCCTGTCCCCAGTGCACTCGCCCAGGCCCACGTCAGCACGTCCTACTCCTCCAGGAACGCAAAGGCCACTTGAAAGATACCCCAACTGGAACAGACTGTAAATCTGGAATGGAAAAAAAATGAAAGCAAAGGCATTTTCCCGTATCTTCAGGCAAACTAGGGAGCCATATTGCTGTCTCTGCGTTTAGGCTCAGATCAAGAGCAGTGTCTCTTTTACAGAAAATTCACAACTTGAAAGAGTCAGCTATGGAACTCAGTGAAAGTGACAGAGTTAATTTTTAATGGAAAGAAAAGTTCCACTGAAAAATAAAGGGAAATGAAAACTGTATAAGTCCAGTTATCCTTGTACCAGATTCGGCCCACTGCGGGGGGGGGGACGGGACGGGACGGGACACCCACCAGCCTCTCCCGCTGCTCTGACAGAGGATAGCAGGCTGTGTGGTTCTCAGCAGAGGGAAGGCAGTGCTAGGCAGGCGTTTCTTCTTCCTTAGGAGTGCAGCAGAATGGTTTCTAAATGAGCCAACAGCGGTCAGCATTTAACCTTGATATGCTATTTAATTGCATATTTTAACACACTGAACTGTGAAGTCAATTTAATTATGTAAAATTAAAGTTTCACCCAGATAAAAAGGATTTGAAATGAAAGCTCAATTTCAATTTCTTTCATTAGCTGTGAAAGGATAAATAATTACATTTTCCGGAGCTCCTCTACCACAAATATCTCTTTCCTTGTCAGACATCATTTATAAAGAGCGCTCTCTGTCTCTGTCTCTCTCTCTGTCTCTGTCTCTGTCTCTGTCTCTGTCTCTGTCTCTCTGTCTCTCTAGAGCGCTCTCTCTCTGTCTCTCTCTCTGTCTCTCTCTTTGTCTCTCTCTCTGTCTCTGTCTGTCTCTCTCTCTCTCTGTCTCTGTCTGTCTCTCTCTCTCTGTCTCTCTCTGTCTCTCTCTCTGTCTGTCTCTCTCTCTGTCTGTCTGTCTGTCTGTCTCTGTGTGTGTGTGTGTGTGTGTGTGTGTGTGTGTGTGTGTGAGACCTCTCATGAGCAGCCATGAGAATCTTTTGTCTTTCAGCACTTGAACTACAAATAAGGAAACTTGATCTAGAGACGACTCGTTTATTTGTTAAGTGCTTTAAGCACTTTTTAATGCTATAATAGGGGAGGGAAATAAATTTCTCTTACCTA